TAGATCCCACCACCCAGGATGCCCCACCACGTGCATATCCAGGACGTTATATTACGTGCATGTCCATGATAGCGACACAAGAACAGAATAGCACACTTCAGCTAATTAACATATAATTCCATAACCACATATTTCACTTTTTCGAAGCACTTATTTCAATACTTCCAAACACATATTTCAGTTACCAAAAATTTCAAATACTTATTCACTATTGGGAAATAAGACACTCCTAATTTTTATCGAAAGAGTGTAAATTTCAAACCATGATGCATTCTAATTTCACTTTTCCCAAAAGAATAAACTGGTTATTTCAAAAGAGTGAAAAAATGATTCCATATGTAGAAAATTTGATTACAGTTTTTATCCACAAAAGAGTGTAAATGATTATTTCAAATGAGTGAAACAAAAAAAAATCAACTTAAAAGAGTGAAATATTTTCATACACATACCAGCTTGAGTACATTTCACTTTCAAATGAGCGAACTCCAAAAACAGTAACATGTGAAATTCAAAACTTTCAAAGGATGGTTTCAATTATTCCAATTTCACTATTCCAAAAGATCAAACAGGTTATTTCAAAGGAGTAAAAAAATGATTCCATATTTAGAAAAACTGATTACAGTTTTTCCAATTCCAATTCCATATTCACAGCGAGTGAAACTGGTTATCTCAAATCATCAAAGAACTGATTTCAATCGTTTAAACAAATTTCACTATGATATTATTACAAAAGACTGAAACTGCATTTTTCCAATGCCATATTTCACAGCAAGTGAAATTTCACTCCGAAAACCAATTTCAAATCATTCAAAGGACACACTGAAATAACATATTACACATATAACTGAAATATCAATTTCATACATTTCAGAGAAGTAATTTAATATACTTCACAGAAATAGCTTCACAACTTGCAAAAACACATTGAAATATCTGTTTCACTTGCTTTTCACTCAACATCACTTTCAGAACTATTGATTGACATATTTCACTTCTCATGAAACATCACTTTTTTCCACAAACTGTATTTCAGTTTCAGCAAATCATAGTTCTTCATTCATCCATAGATCAGACTTCATAATCAGCAAAGAAAATTTCTATCTTCCAATCATGCATCCTCAGATCTGTTTGGGGGAAATCAACAAATGTCTTCGGAACAAAAGGCAAGGTAGAGGAGGAGGCTCACCAGTAGCTCTCACCGGGGACGGGGTGGACGAGGAGGCCGCTGTACTCGGCCTGCGGCATGGCCGAGCCGCGACGTGAGCGCCGGATCCAGCGCTAGCCTGTGATGCCACTACTTGCTCGTCGTCATCGGACTCGACTGTGGCCGGGAAAACCATGCCTCACCGCAAAACTGCCTCGCCGGAACTCGGTGGAAGACGAGGTCTTCCGACCATGAACCTATCGTACTTGGGCCGGCAACTGGTCGGGGAAGCGGATCCGATGGTCGGAGTTGGCGGTCGCCGGAGTTGGGACGGAGGCCGGCCGCGGTTGCTCTGAAGAGAGAGATGTGTTATGCGATCTGGGCTGGGAGAGAATGCAAAGAGAGAGAAGGGGCTAGTTGGGATATATTTTATCATTGGGCCCGTCATCGATGTATTCATCTCGTATAGGTTTTGTATCACCGAAGAAACAGAAAATAGAATCTTAGTGGGTCCGACACAGCACCAATCTAAAAGCAAGCGTATGCGGTAGATTCTTCACCGGTAGCTCCCTTCATTGGTAAATTACTTTTTCGCAGGTGTACGCACATATGAAGAGCGGAAATAACTCGAAACCTTAGACTTGGAAACACACTCTTGGATGTGTAGTGGGTTGCGTGCCTGGCATGAAGGGTAAGTAACACTTGTGGGTAAAGTAGTGCACCTTGCAGAGTGTATTGAACTGTGGCTTGTCACTCTACGATTTGAGAAATGTGTTCACTTTAAAGTTTTGTTAAGGTTTCCAAATATGTTCCCATTTTTTTGGAAAAATGTTTGTTTTTCAAAAAGTGTTCTCATTTTAAAAATTGATAGTGTTTTCAAAAAAAATGTTTGCCTTTTTTCAAAAAGTAATCGAAATTTTCAACAAGTGTTCGTGCTTTAAAGAAATGTTTGAGGATTCCGAAAATTGTTTACATTTTCAAACTTTGGTTTCCCTTCAAAATATGTTCCAAATCTTGATGTTGTGTTGTGTGTTTAAATATTTTCGGGCTTCTGATTAGATCACTAAGAGCATCTACATCTGGATATATCTAATCCGGCCCCTCAAACGCCTGCGGACTTGCCCAGATACATCTGTGTGCAGTGACCGGTCACCCCTCATTTCTTTGCTCCCCAGCCATGTTCCTCAAATCCATGCAACCCATGCAATGCTACATAGAAGAAACACGGCGAACACATTTAATAGTAACAAACCGACTAAATTCAGCCAATACAAAAGGAACATAGTTCATCGTCAGACAAAAGGATCAAAAGTTCATCACGGGACAGTGCAAATTAATACTAAAATCGTATATAAAGATGGAGAAAGGCGGAGGAAATCACCATTTCCTTGCCGCCCACTTCCCCTTGAGGCCGCCGATGCGGTTTGTACCCATCCGTGTAGGCGTTGGTGACTAGATGGGCATCGTCGCCGGAGCTGGAGTTGTTGATGACGTCCGAGTCGTCGTCGGGGCTGATTTGGCCCATCAACCTTCGGAGCAGGCAGTCCTACTCCTTATTTCGGTCGCCGCCTCCGCCGTTGTCTCGCGTTCTGACAGCTCGAGGCCGAGCTGGAGTGCTATGGTATTCTTGCAGCGAAGCTACCACGCATCCATCTCCGCCATTGTTAGGGAGCGGCAGAGGACCAACACGAGGAGAGCGTCCTTAGGGTTCAATGGTGCGCGTGTGTGCATATTATGGATTGTCCAATACATGATGTAAAGTGCCCCTCTGTTCCATAATATAAGATCTTATTACATTTAATATACTAGTAAAATCTTATATTATCGGGAAGAGGTAGTAGTATTTTGATTCCCTTTCAAGATATTGAATTCAGAAACCTTGAAATCTCAACACTAGTACATAATCGGGTTTCGTTCTGCTTAGTCACAACCGCTTTCAGGGTCCGCTTCTATTGCTCTTTTTTCTACTATGGTGCAACGTAACTTAAATAAAATTTAAATTTATAAAAACATTGCTTAACATAGTGCATAGATTGTTTGTCGTACAAATTTAACCCCATCCTCATTGTCAATTATGCATGTGCAAAGCAGAACTCAATCATGAAATTTAGGTGGGTAATATGGGCATGTTCGGATCTTCTCCCGCTTCACAAAACTTTTCAAATCCAGCTTCTTTTTATGGCTTCTAGCTTCACCTGGCGATCCAAAAACCGTTCTGCTTGAATCGGCAGCTTCTTGTAGCGCTGGAGCCCAGCTGGGAGGGTTGTGGCCCATTTGGCACCGACTGGGCCGGCTAGAGGCAGCGAATTCAGGCCCAGTGCATCGATTCACATGGGAAGAGGTGTACCAATTCGCTCGAGATCGCTAGATTCTTTTGTTCGAGCGAGGCGGTGGCAACACCTTGTAAATTGAGCAAACTTCCGATTCTCCAATCCGTGGAGCCGGGCCGACGCCGCTTCGCGTTTTTGCACTGCAATCGGTCGTAGCTTCCTAAAGCTAGCTTCTCGCAGATATTTCGTTCGGCTCAGATCTGCACCAGGAATAATTTATGAAGCGTGGAGTGGGAGGAGCTCCGAACACGCCCTAAGTTATAAAAACATTTTATGATAAAAATATAATATTATATTTTTTATGTCAATCTTTTTTTTAAGTCTAGAATGTTGCATGCATTTGCGCGGGCCATTTAATTTAAAATACAGCCCAACTCCCAGTCAATGATGTCCAGTAGCCCATTGTCCGGCTAACCCTAACCCGCTCGGACACCCCAGCGCGCACCTCGCAGTGAAGGAGGGACTGGCCGCCGCCGCCGCCATAGTCTTCTCGCCGCCGCCATCGGCTCCTATCGTCCTCCCCCATCGTCTTCAACATCTAATCGATCGATGGACACCAGTAGGATGCTGTCTGAACCTTGCCGCCATGGCGCGAACCCACGGCGAAGTGCAGCCATTCCGATGTCGCGCTTCGGGAAGGCCGTCCTCCTCTGCTTGACCCTGTTCGCCGCATGGCGGCTCTGCTCGACCCTGTTCACCGCGGCGCCTCCTGGTCCTGGAGCCGGCCCTGCGGTAGGCGGCGACGCGTCGTGCCTGCCTCTCGCCAGGGAGGTCGGCGTCCGGGCGGCGGCCGGCACGGGAAGCAACTTCGTGTTCTCGCCGCTGTCCATCCGCGCGGCGCTCGCCATGGTGGCCTCCGGCGCGCGGGGCGACACGCGCAGGGAGCTCCTGCGGTTCCTCGGGTCATCGTCGCTCCACGGGCTGCACCACGCGCCCGTGAACGAGCTCGTCGGCAGGCTCAACGGCCTAGCGCAGACGTCCTTCGCCTGCGGCGTGTGGGTCGACCGGAGCCTGGCGCTCACGCCAGAGTTCACGGCCACCGGCGCGTCGCGGTACGGCGCCACGGCGGAATCCGTGGACTTCGTGTCGGGGGCCGAGCAGGCGAGGCAGCGCGTGAACGCCTACGTGGCGGACGCGACGAAGCAGCTCATCCGCGACATCCTCCCTCCCGGCTCCGTCGACTCGTCCACGGCGGTCGTCCTCGCCAACGCGCTCTACTTCAAAGGAGCGTGGTCTCACCCGTTCGACGTCTCCACGGCGCCGTTCCACGTCCCAGGCGGCACCACCGTGGGCGTGCCGTCCATGACGACAGGCCGGTCACAGTACATCGCGCTCTACCCGGGCTTCAGGGCCCTCAAGCTGCCCTACAAGAACGACGTGCTACGGCAAGCTGATGCATTCTACATGCTGATCCTTCTCCCGGACAGCGGCACTCTCAGTCTCGCCGATCTCTACGACAAGGCAATGTCTACGCCAGAGTTCATCAGGAAGCACACGCCGGTGGAGGAGGTTCCAGTCGGGCAGTCATGGTGCCCAAGTTCAAGTTCACGTTCGGGTTTGAGGCGTCGTCGGACATGAGAAATCTTGGTGTCACGAGGGCTTTCTCAGGCGGTGACTTCTCAGGCATGGTGAGCGGCGGGGATGGGCATGGGCGGGTCTCCATCTCCCGGGTGTACCATAAGGCCACCATCGAGGTGGACGAGCAAGGCACCGTGGCCGCTGCTGCCACGGTCGTACTCATGGATGGTACTTCGCTTGAGGAAAGGGAACCACCGCATTTGGTGGATTTTGTGGCGGATCGGCCATTCTTATTTGCCGTGGTTGAGGAGAGGACAGGAGCCGTGTTGTTCCTTGGTCATGTGGTCAATCCTCTTGCGGGCTAACTGAATACATAATGATTCTGTAATATGTGTAATCCTTTGGTTGTGGAATGGATAATTGAACATGTGGAACCAGCTAACTGATATTTTACTACGTTTGTCCGGAAATAAGTGGTGTGGTTTTAGTTCAAATTTGAACGGAGCGGAAGGAGTAGTAGTTAAATGGTTTGTTTGGTTCAGCCTTCTGAACCGGATTCATGTCCAGGAACCAAAGATGCAAATCATGTGCAGTTCAGAAAACTCCTAATTATGCCCTGCCATTGATCTTAAGCAAGCAAAGCCTTCTTTAGTAGAAGGATCACCTCCGTCTGCTAAGTACTCCTAATTTTGCTCTGGCATTAATCTGGGACATGATTTTCTTCAAAGGATTAGTTACATATGCAGGAAAGTGTGGAGAAATATTTATTCAGGTCCGATATATGAAGATGAGTCCTACACCAAATATATAGTTTCAGATGTGTGCCGTGTGGCTAGGAGGGATTGTGTGGTGAAACAAATTCAAAACGAGAACAGGTTTAAGAAGCATTTTGTAGTCTGTCAGACAACCTCCGGGGCACTTTTTGCTGATTAAAGTGGGTGATTGTAGCGATAATGAATGGAAGCCTCGACATCTTTTTGCTGATTACTCAACTGTTGTACTTTGTACTGTTGGATCCTCATGTATTTTTTCTACAAAGACAATGCTGGAGAGTGAAGATTTCAGAGATTTGTACCACTTGCTTCTGCCTGAGCAGGCCTATTACCAATTCAGTGATCTCTGTGCATATTGATGGCGAACTCACCTGGACAGGTATATCAAGTTCTGCCTCGTAGTCATGACACCCTTTCTGCCTGGCAGTCATGACTGCGAGGCACAACTTGATCTTTTGCCTTGGCATTAGTCTGGGACTTGATCTTTTGGATAACAGTTCAAACTATTAAGCAAGCAATAATCTTCTTTTATGAACATCATCACACGCTGGAGCATCTTCAAAGGATTACTGCTGGAGCATATCCAAAGGATTACTGCAGTCCAGCCTTCATAGATGCCTGAAAGATAGCTTACTCAGATGATTAATCCATGGATTTCACCCTGAACTTGAAGCTGCATTGAGTACTTCGAAGCTAACAAAAACTGAATGAGTATTTCATCCTGAACAAAGCTGCATTTAGTAGTTGAAACTATTCTGGATTAGCTTGTAGCCTTGTACATGTGGAACAACAACTGAATGTAATTGCCAGATGTTGTACAACCACATCCTAGCTCTACAGTCAAAAAGAAAAAGAAAAAGATTAGTGGAGTCTGTCAGACAACCTCTGAGCCAACCTGCACCAGTGTGAACTGGAACAAGAACGATCCTCTACAGCCGTCGGATAACACCCATCAGGTGAATCCAAGCCGTTGATCACGCTCTGGCCCAGAGGTCAGAATGCATCAACCAGACTGAAGTGCTTGCCTCCTTATTGGTAAAGGATGCAGCGGTACGAGCCTATAGAACAGATCCTGTTCAAGTAAGGTCGTGCTACAATCAGCAGCGTCTCGCCTTATAAACTGCTCCAGCGTCGTCTAAACTGGCGAGGTGGGACTAATTAGAGAGCAGCCATGCAGCAGCGCCTACTCAGCCAGAGCATGGAAGGGTACCCGGATCATGGCCCATGATCAAAGCCCAGCCCATGTGAGGAATTATTTATGATCTTTTCTTTTTTGCAAACTTGAATTATTTATGATCTCTTTGTCCTCTTTCCATTTTCGTTGCATCAGCTGTGGAGTCTGGAGATATTGAAGCAGTTTAATATCTAATGCTGCATGGCCTATACTTTCCATTTATATTTACGAAAATGGTAAATTCTTACATTTTTTTCAGTGACACTTACTCTTTTTTCTTTTCCAAATTAAATTGCAGTCGGCCACTAGAAGTAGCAGACTACACCCTGCCAGATTGGAGACATCACACAGAGACAGAGCATACACTTGTTTGGTATAGTACTTTGGTGGCATTTACAGCATCTTTCCAAGCAAAGGAAAGTCTTGTTCTGAATTCCATAGCTGGATTGCCATTCATAACGGGACTCTACACAACATTTCCTTCCTGAACATACTTGCAGTAGGCAAACAGCCTACTGTTTTCTCAAAGTCAAAGGTGCAGAGTTCCCATCATTTTTTTTATCTGGCTACTACTAAGTACTAAGAGACAGACTGAATACAAGCGCCATGTTGCCAAGGAAGAACTTCTTCCTCCCATCTTGCTCATGTGCCATGTGTGGTCTTCAGAGTTCAGACAGTAGAAGCAAGGGATCACCTCTGTTTCAGCTGCCAGTTTGCTAAGTACTCCTAATTATGCCCTGGCATTAATCTTGGATATGATTGTTTCAATGTGTTTCAAACACTTAAGGAAGCAATCACTAAGCCTTCTTTTTCTTGGAGAGCAACACCCACTCTTGTCTCCCTGAACATGGTTTACCAGGAGTTACCACATCTTCAGAGCATTACTTTACGGATTCAGGAAAATGTTGAAAGATGAGCTGAAGTCAGACTTCCACACAACATTTGGGTTGCTAGCTTCATGTTACACAGATCTTTGTAAAATAATTTCGGTTTGTGAGAAATATTTATTCAGGTCTAGAGAAGATGAGTCCTGCAGAAATCAGTCTCTACATATTTATTCAGCCGCGAGTTTCACGCCATCTGGGTCAACTTCCTCTCCCAGGTCGGTACTAAAATTATCTCACTGCTACCCTCACTGTCAGATTACCCATCTACTGGTCTTGTAGTCAATTACCTTGGGCAGTAGAGCACTAACAGGCTCCAAATTACTTCACACACATGGATGCAGTGTGACATGTCGTGTCGGATAAAAGCGTTGAATCGGCCTCAATCAGAACCAAACCACTACTAATAATTTCCTCTCCCAATATTATACTGTGAACTGAATCATACATAGCTTCAGATGTATGATCAAGGAAGGAGATTTGTTGGTTAAACAAGTTCGAAAAGAAAAATGTATCTGCATTCCAGATCCATTGTAGTAGAACTGAATCATGCATAGTTCCCAAGAAAATTGGTTGCCACAAGACTAAAAAGAGAGTTGCAAAAGCAAACAAATTATTGTACTCTGATCAAGGAGAAATGGTTTTCAGAGAGTTGCAAAAGCAAAAAAAGAATTGTTGAAGTCTGTCAGACAACCTCTAGGCCACCCCGCACCAGTTTAACCAGGCAGGAACGATCCTCTACAGCCATCGGATAACACCCATCAGGTTGTTTTCAGAGAGTTGCAAAAGCAAAAAAAAATTGTTGAAGTCTGTCAGACAACCTCTAGGCCACCCTGCACCTGTTTAACCAGGCAGGAACGATCCTCTACAGCCATCGGATAACACCCATCAGGTTGTTTTCAGAGAGTTGCAAAAGCAAAAAAAGAATTGTTGAAGTCTGTCAGACAACCTCTAGGCCACCCCCTGCCCTGCACCAGTTTAACCAGGCAGGAACGATCCTTCTACAGCCAACGGATAACACCCATCAGGTGATCCTGACCATTAATCACACTCTGGCCTAGAGGTGAGAATGCATCAACCAGACATGAGTGCTTGCCTCCTTATTGGTAAAGGATGCAGCGATACAAGCCTATAGAACAGATCCTGTTCAAGTAAGGTCGTGCTATCATGAGCAGCGCCTCGCCTTATAAACCACTCCAGCGTCCCTTAAACTGGCGAGGTGGGACTAATTGAGAATTGCAGGCACATGCAGCAGCGCCTCCTAGGCAGAGCTTGGAAGGAAGGGCACGAGAATGAGCAAAGCCCAGCCCATCAGAGAAATGTTCAGCTGTGGAGATTTTGAACTAGTTTAAATATATGGCAAATGCTGCATAGCCCACGTCTGATCAGCAGTAAGGAATAGTTGATTTGAAAAAAAAACAGCAAGGAATAATTTCTCAACATCTCTGAAACAGGCTAAGTCAGTGGCTACAATAACATGTGTAGGAAGCGCTGACAACAGACGTTGACAACCTGATTGACAACAGATAATGTCGCTCGTCAACGCCTCGCCAAGCTAATGAATAGGACGCAAGTGTGAGCACCTATACAGGTTGCTCCGGAACACCGCAGACACTACAGGCGTCGATCGGCCGGTCGACAAGGGGCTCGGCTCCATTCTTCTTCTGCAGAGTGTGCGAGCTTCTAGTTGTTGTACCTGAAAACCAGAATGCATATACGACTGAAAAATGGCACAGACAAGACAATCAGGCTCAGTACCCTTGAAGAGACATACTGGGGAATGATAACTTTTGTATGTTTTGGCTAGAAAAGAAGATTTAATTTCTTTAATCAGCATCTTTTTTGCTGCCTGGACTATTCTTCTAGTCTAGTCATAAAACAAGAATGCACCAGCCGGGAATCGAAACCGTGTCTGTACACGTGGCAGGGTACTATTCTACCACTAGACCACTGGTGCCATTGATGAGTTGGCGCTCGAGGGATCTCAACGAATTCTCAAAAATAATAATAATTAGAGAGAAGAAGAAAAAAGGCAACACCGGAACTTGACAGACAGAACACATACATCCTTTGTAGATTTGCTGACTCTGCTGTTCAAAAGTAGTCCAGCGGGAAAACTACTTGCTGCAACTTCCATTGGGCGACACTCACTTCGTCCTCTGTGAGGAGCATAGCGACGATCCTAGGTGCTCAGGCCGGCAAGCCGAAGCACCAGGCATGCAAAAACCTGTCAGCCTGAACATGGTTTCAAACTGAAACCTACTTTGTAACATGGTTTCGACAAGATGAGCAGAGGCAGTACCAAAAACAGAGCAAGCAGCAAGGATTAATACATATGTTAATTTCCCTACCTGAACCAGCCTTACGAATAATTGAACATGTGGAACCAGCCTTATGAACAAGATTCATCTCTTGGAACTCAGGATCCCAACCAAAGAATGGCAGGAGATGCAAGCTATGTGCAGTTCAGAAAACGTGGCCCAACCAACCTTGAATATGAAAGCGTGCACTTCTAGTTATGCCCTGGTATTAAT